TCAAATGACATCCTCAACCAAGAACCAATATGTAAAATATGAAAAGTTTAGGTACTAAAATGTCATAATTAAAAATTTTAGGTACCAAAACGTAATTTTCCAATGATATTTTTTGCATAAAAATTAAATTTTGGGGACCAAAATGTAAAATATAAAAAATATGGGTACGAAACCGTAATTTGTTATTTGGATCCATGGATTGATCCATGAATCCACCAATCCAAATGGATTGGATTATAGGGGTGGCAGTTCGGTTATTTCGGTTATAACGGGTAACCGATCGGCCGGTTATCGGTTAATCGAAATAACCACTCCCCCTACCGAAAACCGCCCGAAATAGGCTTCGGTTTCTCGGTTATCTCGGTTATCGGTTAACCGAACCACTTTTAAGATAAAAAACCATTTTGTCCAGCCTCCGATAACCTACCGAAGTTCGGTTACCGGTTAGTGGATAACCGGCCGGTTATCTGTTTAACTGGCCGGTTAACCAATAATCGGTAACCGAACTGCCGGAAAAAATCCCAAAGTACACTACTTCTTAAAAAAAATTCCCAAAATACATAAGTTACAAAGAAAAATCGCAAAACTACACATGTTTGTCATTCACCGTTTTTTACAAACGCAGTGAAGATCATCACCACGTTTGAGAAAAACGGTGAAGTTCTCACCGTGTTAAATTAAAACGGTGAAGTGTTCACCGTTTTCCTCTAAAACGGTGAATAACCAAAGAGTCAATCACAATTTTAGTCTAAAACGGTGAAGCGACGCGGATCGCTGACGTGGACAAACGCGATGCATTCACCGCGTTAGACAAACACGGTGAATACATCGTGTTTGTTTACATCAGCGATCCGCGTCGAGTGTTCTTTCACCGTGGCCGTTGGATGCGGTGAGACGCGGATCGTGGTTTTCTTCCCACGATCCGACGCCTCACAGCACTCCACGTCGCCTCGTCTGGAACCGTTTTTGGGAAGGGCGATGCACGCGGTGAATGCTCCCCAAATAAATGCTCGCAGATCCTCCCCCCTTTCCCCAACTATAAATAACCCTCCCCCCATTTACAACTCACACCACAACCATTTCACTTCTTTCTCCCTCAATTTATCCGCTCTAGTCTCGTTCTAAGTATGCTCTGTGGTTGCGGCTAAGTCCGATCTTCCACATCAGAAAGAATTACTAGAGTTTGACCCTAAAGCCCCCGTCCCGCTAAGTTCCCGTCCCTTACAAACCTCAACCCGTCGAACCTCTGTCCGGCTTCCGCAAAAAATGGACGAAGAGGCTCTTCGTGTAGGTTTTTTGTTTATTTTTTTGATTTTTTTTAATCGAAACAATTTGATTTTGTGTTTTTTTTATCAAAACAATCTCTGATTTCATTACTTTTTTATAGATGGGTGCCGAGATATACGATCCTCGATTGTATATCCATTATGGCCCAAGGGATGCGAGACTCTTAACCGATCAGGAAGCTCATCGCTCCCGAGCTATTTGGGATAACAATCCGGTAATTTGATGATTTATTTGCTTTATTTTATTATTTTTTAAGATTTTATTTTGCTTTATTGAATCTAATAAATTGATGTTTTTCCTATTTTTTGTAGGAATCACTTGTTCCCGTGGTTCATAAAGGGACCACGAACTTGCTCGCTTGGCATCCAAGGTTGGCGCCTTATATAGAGAGTACCGGTTTGGGAATGTTGCGGCATTTCATGCGGATCGAAATCGACAACGATCTGCTTACGGCAATGGCGGAGCGATGGCGTCCCGAAACCCATACGTTCCACCTTGCGGAGGGGGAAATGACGATCACCCTCAAAGACGTGGCGATCCTCACCGGGCTGCCTATTTCTGGAGATGCCATCATTGGTTCAACTACCAAACCCGAAGGAGGTTGGGGGCCGCTCATTCGTGATCGTTTGGGCTTTGACATGCCGACCACGACACCAATTCAAGGACGGGGGCATCCGCCGTTGAATGCGGGGCAAGTGTCGGTCCCGTGGCTGGTAACTCACATCCAGGCTGAGGTGGAAATCAATGACCAAACTCCGGAAGAACAAGTGGAGCGCTACGCCCGCATCTACCTCATTGGTTTGGTGGGTAGATTTCTGTTCCCCGACATGTCGAACCGGTGGATTCAAGGCATATGGTTGGATATGCTCACTAGTGACTGGGATGCAATCGGGCAAAAGAGTTGGGGATCGGCCGTGCTAGCGGGCGTATACCGGGAGCTGTGTACTTGCTCGAAAGTTGGAGCAAAGCAAGCTGGTGCTGCGATGTTCATCCTACAACTGTGGGTATGGGAGCATCTTCCAATGTTCGCACCTCTCGACCCACGTCCATACCGGAGAAACGATGATGAGCTAAACTTTCACCAAAATCCCCCCTACGGTGTCTAGTAAGTTTATTCCGTACTTAGTCCAATTTAAATTTTATTACATGCTTAACTAGATTTAAATTAAATTTATTCCGTACTTAGACTAATTTAATTTATTATATGCTTAGCTAGATTTAATTTGAATTTATTCTGTACTTAGACTAATTTAATTTATTATATGCTTAGCTATATTTCAATTAAATTGATTCCGTACTTTTACTTACAAGGTGGATATGAGCAAATACGAATGACCATCAACCTGAGCATTCGTTACTGTTTTATCGTTCTGAGTTAGATAAACCTTGGTGGAATCAGGTAATCATGTTTTGTCCATATTTGAACAAGTTAAATTTTATCTGTGTAAATGGTCGTTAATTCCAAATTTTGAATGAATATAGGTTATATGGGATCCATATCCACGTGAAGTGGTTGAGCTGCATCATCTTAGACACCCTCTGGATCACGAGACGTGGTTGTGCAAGGTGCCATTGATCTGCTGGCACATCGTGGAGTGGCACCTACCCGATCGATCCTTGAGGCAATATCGAATGGAGCAACCAATTCCACAAGACCCGCCTCAAGGTTTCAGGGAGCTTAATGCTATCGACCTCCGGCACGCTGCAAAGAATTGGCTCCTAAAGCATCAGTTCTACATCAACATCTAGGAGAATCGAGGCCAATGGTTGGTGCAAGGGATGCCGGAGACGAGACCGATGGGCTACCACGATGGGTACATGCAGTGGTATCGGAAGTTCACCATGAGATGGGTGTCAAAGCAAGGTGCTGTGATGGGTTCGTTGGTAAGTCATCCTAATCTCCCTCATTCTAAAATAAATTTATTTTAAGGTTTAGTTAATTTGATATATTTTGTGCTTTTCTTAGGTTGATGGTTTGGAACACTCCAAGTACACTCTCGAAAGTGCTCCAACCATGGATGAGCGGAAGACTACTTGGTTGACCCGACTTATGAACAACCTCCTGAGTTGTACCAGAGAGCAAAGAAGGGATGTCGTGGCCTATCCTCCCGGTCCTTGCCCCGGCACGACCCTCATTCCGTGATGATGCACCCATTGTGCCCCCGGTTAAGCCCCCACGAAGGAGCAAACGCAGGCCTCTGCCTACGTTCGAAGAGGTGCGTACAGCTCAAGCAACCGAGCTCCCTGAACCCTTCGACATCATCATTCCCTAATTCGTCATCTTAATTTTGTTTTCCTCCTCCCATGAGCCCTACTCATCACGCCGGCGGTCATCCTGGTACTTCTTTTTGTTGCCCTTTACGACCACGATGCTTTCGTGGTTTAATGCCACCGCTGAACCGCTCCGACAGTACAATCGCACTTGCCCAGTAGCCTCCTGGTAGAATAGGATCTCTTCGTCTTTTCCAGCACCGAGAAAGGGTTTTTGCTGCCGGTCCCCTGTTTCTCGGCCTTGCTGCTGTCGGTGCTACTGTTGCGGCTGACCGAGCTTCTTATCTAAGATCCTGGGATTTCATCTCCGGGGCGCTAACCATGCCCACTGGAATTTTGAGGCTTTCTTCTCCCTTCCCCCAACTGGGTTTTTGTCGATGGGGAGTTGGTGAAAAGAAAGGGGGAGAAGAGAAAGGGGCGACCAATTAGTAGAAAATAGATTTTTAATTGATTCTTTAATAAGGTGAAAATTTTAATAGATTAAATTTTATTTTTCTTATGATTTTTTAATAGCCACGTCACTAATTTAACAGTCAACTATGAAGGTTGATTGCCACATCAGCAAAAGTTAATGGAGACTAACGGCGAGTGACCAAGCATGAACTATTGGACTAATCTTAGTGACTACGAATTGAATTAAATATTTGTAGTGACTAAACGTGAGCATTTTTAGTAAACCCAGTGACCAACCTTGCAATTAACCCATTAGGTGTCGGTAGGATTTGGCCTGACTTGATTTTACATAACCCTGAAGAACACCAAGTAGGTATAAAACATGACTCGACAAAAAGCCCACTTCCCGTTTTTAATTCAAAACGTTGTCTTTGTTGTTCAACAACTTTCCTCTTCATTCTCCTCGCAAGTTCGGATCAAGCAAACCTTCCCTACAACTTAAAAAAGCATTACAGAAGAAGAACACATGCACAACAATTTGCAGAAACAAATGAGCAGATACCAACACACCAAACGATTTTTATGTGGTATTCATTATTGAGAGAAAGACGATCTCAATATTAATTCTTGATTCAGGAATCATAATGTGTAATCTCGAACGTTTCACTATAAAATTATTGACGATTATGTTTCTCAATTTTATATAGTCGTTGCACTACTGTCAGGAAGGAAACTTTCTTGCTTCTCAACTTTTGTACTTCAAATAACGTTGAACACCGTATAAAAATAAAGTATTGTTGAGCTTCCTTTAATATCAAATTCTTCTGTCCGTTGCTCACGGACGAGTTTGTAAATTGGCAAGCAGCTCTCAACAGTTTGCAGCCTAGGCAGATTGTCCATTCATCCAGTACGTAAATCGTAGAAAGAGGAGATACCTTGACTCCTTGAGTAGCTAAAAACCCCTTGAACCACTCCTCCCTTCTTCCTCCCAACATCTCACCGTAATATTCTGCTAGTATAATCCCGAACAACTATTCAACGACAATTACATGTAACTATACTTGAACAAAAGTATCAATGATCTTGGGCAGAAGAGAGTGTGACATATTCACAATTCACTACTGTAGAACTCTATTAGCTACAGACTTCTCAATCGCTGTCCCTCCTACAGCTTAACACCATAGGCCTCAATTCTGTGTGGCACGACACTCGTACAACTTGCACCTCAGGTACTCGCACTTGCCAGCTACTGCATTCTCATGTCTCTTCACACACTGCACCGAAGCACACCCGAACAAGGCACACAATAAGGGGGGGGGGGGGGGGGGGGGGGGGGGGGGGGGGGGGGGGGAAAGAACTCTAGTTTGTTGTTGCCAACAACACTGAATCAACAATTCAAACACTTTAGCGACTACAACCAACAATAAATCATACCCTACCTTGTCAAAGACCTTCTGCCAAGCGGCACAAGGAATCTTAGTGCCTGGTTTACCGACGGGGAGCACAGGTTCCGGGAGGATGGCCATCTCTAATTATGTTAAGAAGAAAAATTAAGGTATTCATCAGACAAATGCTAATACAGCATGCAAATGATAGAGGAGAGACATGGATTTCGAATTACATACCATCAGCAAAGCCATCAAACCGTCGGTTGATAAGCTTGCGAACCCAACGACCACTATCAGACGCCTCAAAGGCCCAAGGCTGGAAAGAAAAACAAAGGGCAGCAACCAGATGCACTTAGGTTGTGAAAAAAAATATATATGAAAAGTCTAAAATTCGATACAGAACGAACACCAAATCAGCTTGCAAAAGGGTTGTGCATTTGATCCAAAGCAAAGAAAGTAGCACATTGGGAATCGGATGGAACGTCAAGGAAGCAGAAGCTATTTTAGAGTTCAGATAGTGGATTTTCACTCCAATAACTACAAATCAGGGGCCACATTATCTACTGTCGCATCAGGACATTCAAAATGCAGATTAGTTAAGGTAATGTAATCTCTATAGAAATGATCTTTGGAATTGAATGAATGATTACTCAAGTTGCCCATCAGAAAAAACACATTGGGTGAGCATAATAGTAGTCGGGGTTAACGCCCTGACGGCTGTTGACCAAAGCATTATCATCACGGCGCACACCAGCAGAAGCAGAGGTAACGAGAAAATGGTGGGCCGAAGAATCTACAAGTAAACAAGAGAGTTTGAGAATCAAATCATGAAATTCTTCTTCAATTTCCACATTCAACAGCTACCATATTCGTAGCTAATCTCACAGTCCAACATAAATTTTATCGATCTATCTAAACTTTTGAACAGATGTAATAGATCAAGATACTAGAAGATTCTATGCACAATTTATCGGAGAAAGGAAAAGAAAGCTGCCTTGGGAATCGCCGGTGAAACCTGCGACGCCGGGGCTCGACCGGAAGTAAGTCTTGGAACACCGCTGAGTCCAATGGTTATAGACCGATCCCCAGTCGCCGGCTCCCAGGCCCCTCCTGGGAGCTTCCGAACCGCCACCACGCCCAAGCATACAGCAGGCCGCCATTTTTATCTCTCGCGGAATCAATATTGCGATCACCACGAAGCGCTATCGCCTGCGACGACGAAACTCAGATTGGATTGTGCCGGCAATCTAACCCTAAAAACTAAAGACTTTTTTTTTACAAAGGGCATAGAATTTCCATTCCTTGTGGCAGAAGCCAAATGATTACAAGAGATGAGCAATTACATTAAGAACTTGAATCCAATCAACCGGTAGATCTTTTTTTGCACATGATCGCGCAACCCAGTTCGCCTTGCCGTTTCTTCTTCTGTTTATGAATTCGAACCTGTTGGTCGGGTGGTTCAAAGAAAAGTTCTTGATCCTGTTGATCCAGCCTGCTACACGCCATGGCCAAACCTCCATTGGGTTTGCAAGGGCCTGAACAAGGGTCTGGCAGTCAGTTCTAATCAGGCACGGAGCTGCCAACTCTTCAGCCATTCGTGTTCCCTCCCAAAGGGCCATAGCTTCTGCTTCAAGTGGGGAAAAACAATGCAGGGGCTCAGCTCTCCCATTGCAAACCTGTCCATGGCTGTTCGTAACTACGACGCCATATGCCGCCTCCTGTAACTTGCTGAAAAAGGATCCGTCACAGTGTATTTCAAAATCATGAATACTCGGCGGTGGAGAGGTTTGGTCAGGGTGCTGAGCGTGTTGAGTGTGGTGGGGTAAGTCTCTTCTCTTCCGAGGGCAAGTGTTCCATTGGTGATGGGTAATCTGAGCTCTGGAAGTAGTGATTGGGGGCCAAGGGAGAGTCCTTGAGAAAATTCGATCGTTCCTAGTCTTCCAGGTATGCCACATTAAGAAAATCATATGCTGAATGGTTATAGTAGGGAACCTTGATTGCAGGGAGACCAGCCAATCCAGTATGTTCGTGAGTGGTGGCGGTGTAGAAAGGTCAGGCCATTCCCGATTCCACCCTGCTTCTGCATGGGGGCAGATGAAGAGACAGTGATGAAGCGATTCCGACTGATAATTGCATAGTGGACAGGCCTCAGTTGGAGAGCATTTTCTAGCAAACAGGTTCGCCTTCGATGCAAGTGCATTCTTTGCACATCTCCAGATAAAAAACTTCAGCTTTGATGGCATAGATAAGCTCCACAGCCATTTCCAGTTATCTTTGGCTGAGTCAGGGAAAGGGTTCACTGTTCCTTGCGTGCCTCTAGTTTGGTTGTGGAACAAGTGGAAGGCTGATTTTACTGAGAAGTCGCCTTGCTCCGAGCCTCTCCATGCCCAGAAATCATTCATGTTCGTGGGTCCGATTGGTGTGGCTCTTATGAGGAGGATTTCTGGTGGGTCAAGAAATTGCTCCAGCAGGTCGAACTTCCATTCTCTAGAGATGGAATCAATGAAAGATGATGCAGTTGAGGTTGGGTCTGGTGATCCATTGGAGAGGAGGGGCCCTGATCGATCAAACCGCCACAGATCCTGGAACATTTTTGTTGTCACCCCATTCCCAATGACCCTAATCACTCCCTGGTGCATCCAACATTTAGCTTCCCAGATACTTGCCCAGATCCATGAAGCTTTGCTTCCCTTCTTTGCTGATAGGAAGTCCCCTCTAGGGAAGTAGATGCTTTTAAGAACCTTTACCCACAAGGCTTCAGGGTTGGTGAGGATTCACCAGGCTTGTTTTGCGAGCAGAGCCATGTTGAAGATGTGGAAGGGTCTGAAGCCTAAACATCCTTCCTCTTTTGGAGCATAAAGGACGTGGCCGGCTCGCCAGTGAATTGATTTTTTTGTCATATTCCCTCCCCAGAAGAAATTCCTCATCATAGAGTCCATCTTCTTTTTAGTAGATCGAGGGAGGAGAAAGAGGCACATAATGAACGACGGTATCGCTTGAAAAACTGCTTTTAGGAAGGTTTCTTTACCTCCTGGAGAAAGAAGAAGGCTTTTCCAAGACTCTCCTTTACTTTCCATTCTTCGGATGAGGAATTGGAATGTTTCTTTTTTTGACCTTCCCCACTCAGTTGGGACTCCGAGGTATTTTGAGTGACAATTTGTCTCTGTGAATCCCACTGTGTGAATAATACTTCGTTTTTCATCCTCAGGGACATTGTGACTGAAAAAGATCGAAGATTTTTCCTTGTTGACCTCCTGTCCTGTTATCGACCTATAATCATTGAGAATGTTCAGGATTCTCCCTGCTTCTCCAGTTGAAGCTTCTCCAAAAATGACAGTGTCATCAGCAAAAAGACAATGTGTGATAATAGGGCATGCTCTGTTAAGCTTCAAACCTCTTAGATATGCTATTTGAACAGATTTTTCAACCAGGAACGAAAGGGCGTTAGACATCAAGATGAAAAGAAGAGGGGAGAGAGGATCTCCTTGACGGATACCCCTAGATGGGATGAATTCCTCGGTAGGGTTCCCATTGAAGAGAATTCTGAACTTCACTGTTGTAATGCAGGTCCTAACCCATCCACACCACGTCTCACTAAACCCATAAGCTTTCAATAACTCAATAAGGAAGTCCCATTCCACCAGATCATATGCTTTTTTCATATCAAGCTTCATCATCATATTTTTCTATGCCCCAGTTTTGTGCTTCTTGAAATGGTTGAGAACCTCATGTCCAATTACTATATTGTCTTGTATTTGTCTCCCTCCTGTAAAAGCTGCTTGGAGCTCATTGACTAGGTTCGGCAAGAAAGGATGAAGTCTGTTAGACAAAATCTTTGTGATTACCTTGTACCTGAAGTTACAACAGCTGATAGGCCTGAATTGTCCAATCATCTTAGGGGCTTCAACCTTGGGGATGAGGGTGATGTAGGTATCATTCCAGTTGGGTGGCATGACATTGGTGTTGAAGAACAAGATAATTTCCTCGCTTACAAGTCACCAATCAGGTTCCAATACCTTCTGAAGAAATGTCCTAAAAAGCCATCAGGCCCTGGGGCTTTGTTGGCTCCAAGTTGAAAAACAGCTTTACGGATTTCATCTTTCTCAAAGCTAGCACTGAGGGCCAAATTGTCCTCTTGGGAAACCAAAGAGGGAAACCATTGAGGATAGCATGGTCACAAGGTTCTGATATGCTTTTGAACATATTGATATAGAACCCATTGACATATCCCTCAAGGTTTTGGTCGTTGTTCATCCATCTCTCAGTTTCATCTTTAAGTTTCACAATGCGGTTCTTGCTTCTTCTTTTAATGGTGCTAGCATGAAAGAAGCTCGTGTTTTGATCTCCTTCTTTGAGCCAGCTGTTTCTGGACCTTTGTACCCAGAACTCTTCTTCCAGTTTCCAAGCTGTGTCTAGCTCCTGAAGCAGGCCCTTTTCTTCTTCAATTACCATAGAGTCTCTAATCGAACCTTGTAGCTCTTGTAGTCTTCGTCTGATTTCCTTTTCCCTCTTTATTTTATTTGCTTTCGAACCGCCACCACGCCCAAGCGTACAGCAGGCCGCCATTTTTTTCTCTCGCGGAATCAATACTGCGATCACCACGAAGCGCTATCGCCTGCGACGACGAAACTCAGATTGGATTGTGCCGGCAATCTAACCCTAAAAACTAAAAAGACTTGGAGAAGGCTGATCACCGCCTCGGTCGATGGGTCGGCTAACGTTTGGGCCTTCGTGTACAAGGCCGAACAAGAAACAGATTTGTAAGCCCGTTGCCAAATATATTGGTGAAAATAGTTTGAATTATGGTCAAGTCATTATTTCAATACAAAATACTAGATAGTTTAGCATCATTCTTCAACTATTTTGATGTTCTAAATTTCGAAAGTTAGGATTATGAGTTATGACTCATTTTTCTCGTATGAAATATACTATAAACTCTCAATTTAGAACTTTTTGTATGTGACTATGAATAAAAGTTGAGATTTCTCGATCAATACAATCAATGTCTAGGCAAGACTTGGGTCTGAAAAATTCAAATAGACTAAACTATTAATTAAGAACTTATCAATTCTTACCTATATAGAATAATGCCCTCCATATATTTTCCCCACTACAAAATCAAATTTAATTCCTCGTATCTTGATATATGTCACTTATTAAAGTTTATCATATTAGCCGTCTAGGTTTTGAAATGAAGATTCATAAAGTCACACAATAAATCTTTAATGTAGGGATGATTAAAAAAAGACCCAATATTTGGGTATTGTCCAAATCCATCTTAGTCTACGACAAATCAGGTTTGAGTGATTTTATTTTTGGGCAAACATATATAGAAACTTTTAGTTATTATCTAAATTAGACTCGTAGTCTTTGGTATCCAAAAGAAAATGGATACCCGATTCTAAGATTTTCCTTATTTTTTGTTATAAAACAAACAAAAAGGTGGAAACACTAATATTAAATGAGTAATTGTGTTGAAGGTAGTTAGTGAGATGAATGTCAATTTTTTGCGTGTACAATCATGTGAACCCAAATAAACTCCTTTGATTGGTCCCAAATGAGTTTACCCAATTTAAACATAACTCAAACCCAAAATAATTAAAGTACATATGAGTCTATTTAGGTCTGACCCAATATTCAAATGACATGTTAATTGGTTCAAATTACCAAACGACTCGAACCATTGTCATTCCTACTTTTATGTAGGCCAACATGTTTGGTTTTAGCACTTAACTTATGTCACATGGTGAAATAATATTGTGTTTGCATGAGGTGAACACATCCATTCGCATAAAAAGTTTAATATGAAAGCTAAGATTGTTCATATATGTCTAACACTTGGACTTGAAGTTTGGTATCAGTATTTTGGATATATCGAACACCATTTTTAATATACCACTATTTGGCATAAACGAACATTGAATTATTTTTGTAGGGATTGTTTGGATTGATTTTTGGGGTATCATTTGATTTTTGAGATTACAGAGTTGGTATAGGTATATACTCAAATGCCGATAAATACCAAAACTTTACTCTTAATAAAGATAGCAAACATCATTTGGTCATTCCTCATTGTTTGACAACTCGCAAGCCCCCATCCAATCTAAGCTTAGTTTCTAAACTTTTCTAGATCACTCTCAT